CTCTCTTCCATTAGAACCTCTAACCTTCATAGGAACCCACAAACTTTCTCTTTCCCAAAGTGCTAAACCCATGATAACTTTGCTCTCATGCCACTTGCCCCTCATGCCAAGCCTAGAAATTTATCTGTGAATGTAAAGAAATTATCTGTAAAATTGCTGTTGCTTTATTGGAGAAGATAACCAGAATACTTCCTAAGGCTTTGCTGCCCTTTCGAGGTATTTTGGGGCTTAATTTCGAACTCAAACAAAGGAGGACAACTTCATCAGCCTACTTGCTGCCGGAAGGAAAAAGCCCCTACATAAATTGGCGACTCTGCTGGGGATTAGGCCATTATCTTCACCAATACCTCCAAAGAAGAAGATCAGAAGTAATAAACCAGAAGGAATAAAGAGATAAGAACATTTCTTCTTTCTTTTTCTTTTTCCTTTTGTTGGCTATCTACTTTGTAGAACAAACATAATATAGATTACTCACATGGTCCATTTGCTTGTGTCTTAGATCTCCATTCTCATGCAAAACAAGATCTTGTAAGAGGACTGGGGGCTTCAGCCAACGTGCAAGCCGCTGACCACCGTCGTCAATTGTTGAGGCTAGCACCTCTCCACCATAATACATCATCAGCAAGTCTGGCCATCGCCGTAAATCACCTTCATGGCAGCTCTCACCTCTCTAGAGTTGTGAAAATACGATGAGAGAGGGAGAAGGAACACTTGCTCAATGCTCTCAGCCTCATCTCTGCGAATGGCTTCACCAAGATAAGATTTTTATTATCATGCCTTGTTGATCTCAATATAGCATATATATTTGTTTGTTGTTTTAATACATTCATAAAATTTATGTTTCATTGAACAATCTCAAGCATAGAAAAAAGCATGTGCATTCATTCTGTTCAAGTCAGAAAAAAAAAAGATTGATTGATTAGTTGTTATTTATATGGTGCACCAGCTTGCATCAGTTTCTTGTTATGTGTTAAACCACCTTTCAATTTTGCATCTCTAGCAAAATTTCCCATAGCCTTATTCCACGCACTATTCACTTATCTTATACTTCTTATCATTTCGTATCGATCCACCTTTGTGTTAATCAATCCAAGTTACACATTGCAATGTAGATGCCAACTATGCATGCTTAGTACTAAAATCATACCAGCTCAACATGCTTATGTCAATTATGTTAGTCCTTTGCAAGCTACAATGCTTATATTATTTTTGTAATCACCATATGCTTTGGTTATGCAGCTTTATATTGGTCATGTGCAAATGACCCAAGCCTCCAAACAACAAAACAAATGCTCTCATGTTTCCTACACAACATCTCAACACACTACCATTATCATCCATTCCTTAGACAAATCTCTCTCTATACTTCCAGTCATAGAAGTTCAAGCACCACTGGAAAAGCCGCTGGAAGAGTGGCTGGAAGAAGAACAGAGCCAGTCGTTGAAATCCAAACACCACTGCTAGAAGAGCCGTTGCCAGAAGCACATGCTACCACCGAATCATGCCAAATTGTCACCATTGCAACAAATGGATATCCCAAGTTCATCATGCCATGCAATGACCCAAACAAATACTAAGAAGGCCACGTTGCAAGAGTTTTTGTAGCTTATGCCCATCAAATCCTTTTCTGATGATTATGGTTCACTTGGGGGCTGAGGAAGGAATTCATTGCAATCACCACAGCAGCAATTCCAAAACCCCTAATGAGCTTAAGAATCCATTATTACCAAAACCACTATCCCCAGACAAAAAATCTCCTTGAAATTCCAATTATGTCACTATGACCTCCAAGTTTGCCATCACTTGCCAAGAACTCAAGCTGTTGTAACCC